GTTTTGTAGGGTTTAGAGTCCCACACCAAGCTGCCCTGTCATTACGCACCTTGCTTTTGTGGATGACGTGTTCATCTTTACTAATGGGTCGGCTACTTTAAAGCGAATTATGCAGGTGCTTGAGGCGTACCAGCAATCCTCGGGGCAACTGGTGAATGCTCAAAATAATGGCTACTTGGTCTATAAGGCTCTTCCACCAGTGCTAAGACGAGTGATCGAGCGAGTTACACAATTTACGAGGCAGGAGTTTCCAATTCACTATCTTGGCTTTCCTTTGTATACGGGTAGATGCAAAGCAGCGTACTTTGGAGATGTGTGCCAAGCGGTATTGGCTCGAATCATGTCATGGAAGTCTAGGTTGATATCTCAGGGAGGGAGAATTGTTCTGATGAAGCATGTGCTTTCTTCCATTCCGGTCCATTTACTATCTGCTGCGGTATGTCCTGCCTCAGTCTTTAAGAGGATTGAGCAGGCTTGTGTGAATTTCTTATGGTAAGCATCAGGAGAAGGGATGAAGTTCCACTAGATCAGATGGTCTCAATTATGCGTCCCGGTTGAGGAGGGGGGAGTGGGTTTCAGGAAGTTTCGAGAGGTATATGCGGTCTTCTCTTGTAAATTGTGGTAGAGTTTCTGAACTGGAGCGTCACTTTGGACGGAATTTATACAGGCAAAGTACTGCTGGGATCTCCACCCTTGCCAGGTGGAATTGAGGCAATTTGACTCACTGACATGGCGAAGAATGTTAGACAGACATCAGTTGGCAAGTGGAATTAGCCATGGTTTGGTTGGTGAACGGGGGGTCCTGTGACTTCTGGTATGACAACTAGCTTAGAAGTGGAGCTCTTTGTCTAAAGCCTACGGTGTACTCGGCCCTCACCTTCAAGGATTTCATCACAAATGGGGAATGCGATGCCCAGTTGTTCGATCAATATATCCCGCTTGAGTTCACCCGCCAAATACTACAACACCCGATCCCGACGAGAGACGGCTGTGACGAGGTGGTTTGGAGCCTAACGGTTTCGGGGAGGTTCACATTGGCATCGGCATTTCAGGAGGTCCGTTAGGCTCGCAGTTCCTCAATGATCCACTCTCAGGTATGGCATCCTCGGATCCCGTTGAAAATCTCTTTCTTCATGCTGCTGCTGTTAGTGGGAAAACTGCCTCTAACTGATGCCTTGTGGATAGTGGGTGTCCAATTGGCCTCCAAATATTTGTGCTGCCAAGAGGGGGCGACAGAGCTGTTGGAGCATGTATTCTCAAAGGGACAAGTTGCGATAGGAGTCTAGAACTATTTTGGTAGCATATGTGGGGTTACTCGCAGAGGCTCATCGCTTCGAGCATGGCTAACGGTTTGGTGGATGTCGTCTCCTAGGTCGGAGAAAAGATGGGTCGTCTACTCAGTTCTTCCCAGGTTGACAATCCCTTTTGCTCTCATGATCGTTCCTTTCCAGTTTCTTGCAATTATTCCTTGGCCTATCCTGATCATTTTTGCTGAGATTGCAGTGTCTGTATACATGCATATCACATCTTCCTTTAATGTTTCTCTTCTGACTTAAGGCTCGCTATTGATGTGTAGTGCAATGTTTTCCTATTCTGATTCTCTTACCTATTCATACTCGATCCAATCATCTTGTGCTTTTTTAACTGTTCTAGATGGATCCGGATTGGAATTTTCAACATTTTTTCGTTTCTTGCTTTCCAGATTTGCTAGAAAATGTTGATGGTGAGGTTTATTCTATCTTGCCCTTGTTCCTTTGAGATTGATTATGTAGCTGTTTCCCACCAGAACCACAAATTTTGCTATTTGTCTCTCAGTCCATCCCATCTTACTGGAGCCATTTTCCATACTATTGTTGCATTTGTACAGAAGAAGAGCAAATGCTCTATGGTTTCCATATTGTCCCCACAACAGTCAGATCTTTCCTCTTCTTTCCCAAACCTTTTGAAAGTAATCTCATTTACTAGTAGGTAGTTCTGCAAGCATTTCCACATAAAGCGTTTTAGCTTGGCCTTAACCTTCAGTTGCCAAAGTTTCTTCCACATACTATATTTTCTTATCTCCTAATTGGTTTCAGCATTGCCTTCTCTTTTTTTACAGTGTTGGGCATCCTCCTATCTTGCCAATGCATAACCAATCTTCACAATGTATGTTCCAGTTTTGGAGAATCTCCAGAATATTCTGTCCTTTCTTCTACCTATACTAGTAAGGATGCATTCAATCAGCTCAGCATCATTGTTGCAGAACCATTTCTGTAATGACTCTTTTTTCCACTTCCCCTTTCTATCATCTCACTTACAAATTCTAATTGGCAATCATCAAGTTTTTTAGAGGTCACTTCACCTTTGTTCTGATCCAATTTTCCATTTATCCTTCCATATACTCACAGTACTTCCATCACCTATTCTTTTCCATAGCCTAGCAAACAGTAGTGTTTTGGCACTGTGTATACTTTTCAGCTCCATGATGCTAAGTTTGGAGGACATTTTTCCATCCAGTTAGGATTCTTCATGTTTTTGCTTTCATTACCTTGCTTACTAGCAAATTTGGGGTGGTTAAGAATCTCCAAATTTGCTTTGCAAGCAAGGCAGTATTGAAGGCTTCTAGGTCTCTGAAGCCTATTCCCCCTCTTTCTTTAACTTCTGAAATTTTTTTCTGATACGAATCTCGTTGGTGAGAAGATTCGCGACCCAAGATCACTTGTGGGATTTGACTTCAAACGCAAGGAACGGTAGCAGCGGAAACCCTACGACCCCTCTAATCCCCGTGACTACGAACTTGTTGATATTATCTCAACCCGTAATCAAACGAATTAGTAAACCTCAGGCAAGTGTAGGAGGCGTCACAATTCAAGTGTGGTTCTTGAATTGATAAGCCAAACAAGAACACAAGAGTTAAACTCTAAGTTGTTCAAGGGTTGCTCGAAAGCTATGGAGAAAATTCTCTCAAGTATTTTTATGATAAAAGTGTCTACCCTTTATTGATGTAATATGGTGCCTTATATAGGCTACAAGTGAAAACCCTAATCTAGTAAGAAAATGGACTAAGGGTGCTGTGGATATGGGCCCTAATAAGGGAGGGTTAACCCCCCCGATGGGTTGGGCCTCACGTGGGCTTTTCTTCCTAGACAGCCCACTCTAGCAAATAATAATGAGTAAATTAGCAATCCTACCTTTGGCGATTCTACGTGCAATATGCACTTAGCCAATTATTCAATCTAATCAACTAATGTAGAAATAACTAACTATGATGCTAAAATGGAAATTAGGGTTTGGCAAAAAAAACCCTAATCCTCAGGTGTAGCTTCAATGCTCATTATCGGACCGCGACCACCTTCACTTGAGTGTATGAATCTTTCAAAGGATTTGTGGATGGCCTGAATAAATACATTGAGTTGCTCACGAAGTTTCTTTGCGCGAGCCCTAGTAATGGGTCCACTTGGGGCGTGCACGTGATCCTCAGCTCCTCGATTACTCGAGCCATTGTCGGCCTGCCCACGTACCATGATGCTATCATTTCCCGCCTCTTGAGAAGGATTTGCCCTCAAATCAAACGCATCATCTGCATCAAAAGGAGCTAAGTCAGCGACATTAAATGTAGCACTAACTCTATACTCACCAGGAAGGTCAAGTTTGTAGGCGTTGTCATTGATGCGCTCCAACACTTGAAAAGGTCCATCACCCCGTGGGTGTAATTTGTTCCTCCTTTGAACAGGAAATCGTTCTTTGCGCATGTGCAACCATACCCAATCGCCAAGCTCAAAAATCAACTTTTGGCGACCTTTGTTAGCTTGCTTGACATATTGAGCAGTTCTCCTCTCAATGTTAGCCCTGACTTTCTCATGCAGTTGCTTAACAAACTCTGCACGTTTCTTACCATCTAAATGTGCGTGCTCATTACTAGGTAATGGCACTAGATCAAGTGGTGTTAGCGGATTAAAACCATAAACACATTTAAATGGAGAGAAACCAGTAGTAGAATGGATAGCCCTATTATAAGCAAACTCAACATGAGATAAACACTCTTCCCAAGATTTCAAGTTCTTTTTTATGATGGCACGCAACAAGGTACCTAATGTACGATTTACCACCTCGATTTGACCATCAGTTTTGGGGTGGCTAGCAGTAGAGAATAGCAATTTGGTGCCTAACTTAGACCAGAGTGTCTTCCAAAAATAGCTTAGGAATTTAACATCTCTATCAGATACAATGGTTCTAAGAATGCCATGCAATCTCACAATCTCTTTAAAGAACAAATTAGCAATATGAGATGCATCATCTGTTTTATGACAAGCAATGAAGTGTGCCATTTTAGAGAATCTATCAACAACCACATAAATGGAGTCATGGTCATACTTGGATCTAGGCAAACCAAGTACAAAATCCATAGAAATGTCAACCCATGGTGCACTAGAAATAGGTAACGGGGTGTAAAGGCCATACGGGTGTACCTTGGATTTAGCTTTCTTACAAGCTAAGCATCGCTCCACCACCCGTGCAACATCTCTTCTCATGTACGGCCAATAGAAGTGCTCCTGCAGCATGGCAAGAGTCTTATCAACCCCAAAATGTCCCATAAGGCCACCCGAATGGGATTCTCGTACCAAAAGTTCGCGGATGGATCCATGTGGGATGCAAAGCCGATTGGCATAAAACAAGTAACCATCGAAAATGAAAAATTTACCTTATCCAGTGTGTTTGCAAGAAAGGTAAAGTCAGCCGAAATCACTATCTTGTGCATAGATGTCTTTAATCAGCTCAAACCCTAACAACTTAGCATCTAAGGAAGTGAGTAGAGAGTACCTTCGTGAGAGTGCATCCGCAACCACATTAGACTTACCAGCCTTGTATTTAATCACGTACGGAAAGGACTCCACGAATGCGATCCACCTTGCATGCTTTTTGCTCAAGGTGTGCTGGGCCTTAAGGTATTTAAGGGACTCATGATCAGTGTGTATCACGAATTCCTTAGGCCTTAAGTAGTGCTGCCAAACTTGTAGTGCTCAAATGAGGGCGTATAACTCTTTATCATAAGTTGAGTAGTTCAGTGCAGCCCCATTGAGTTTCTCACTAAAGTAGGCAATAGGACTTCCTCCTTGGTTCAACACAGCTCCAACTCCAATACCTGAAGCATCACAATCAATTTCAAATGTTTTAGAAAAGTCAGGTAAAGCAAGTACAGGTGCATGTGTGAGTTTGTGCTTTAAAGCGCGAAAGGCTTGTTCTTGAGTATCTCCCCAATGGAAGTTCTCATTCTTCTTGATCAACTCGGTCAAGGGTGCAGCAATGGTGCTAAAGTCCCTCACGAATCTCCTATAGAAACTCGCAAGTCCATGGAAGCTCCAAACATCACCCACCGATCTTGGTGTTTGCCACTCTTGGATAGCTTTCACCTTTTGGTCATCCGCCTTCATTCCCTGCGCACTTATAACAAACCCTAGAAACACAATCTCATTAGTGCAAAAATTGCACTTCTTGAGATTGGCATAGAGTTTCTCTCGTCGAAGTACATCCATAACAACCCTAATATGCTCTAGGTGTTCATCATAAGATTTGCTATAAATTAGGATATCGTCAAAGTAAACTACCACGAATTTCCCTAAGAATGGACGCAAAACATGGTTCATTAACCTCATGAAGGTGCTAGGTGCATTAGTTAGCCCAAAAGGCATCACTAACCACTCATACAATCCATACTTAGTTTTGAAGGCAGTTTTCCATTCGTCCCCCTCCTTTATCCTAATTTGATGGTACCCACTTTTGAGATCAATTTTGGTAAAGAACACAGCCCCATGCAACTCATCAAGCATGCCATCTAAGCGAGGTATAGGGTGGCGATACTTTACCGTGATGGCATTTACGGCTCTACAATCAGTGCACATTCTCCACGTACCATCTTTCTTGGGCACCAAAATGACTGGGACAGCGCACGGGCTTAAGCTCTCACGTGCCCATCCTTTGCCAAGCAAGTCGTCCACTTGCCTTTGCAGCTCCTTAGTTTCCTCCGGGTTGCTCTTGTAAGCTGGGCGATTTGGCAACGACGCTCCAGGGACGAAGTCCATTTGGTGCTCAATGCCTCTAAGCGGTGGTAATCCACTTGGTACGTCATCAGGAAAGATATCAGCATATTCCTGCAAAAGAAACTTAACCTCAAGCGGTAAGTTAGTATCAAGATCATCCACATTCTGAGCTACCTCTTTACTAACAAGCATAAGAAGCGGTTGCTCATCCCTCATTAACTTCCTCACTTTCTTGGCTTTTATCAGGAGCATTTGTTTTCCCTCGGGTTTTACCTCACTTGCCGAGCTATCTAAAGCCTTTTTCCTCTCTTTTTTTGCCTCGACTTTCTCATTTTCTTTCTTTTTTGCACTATACTTCTCAAACTCTTGTTGCAATTTCAATTGGTCCTCATGCACTTGTTTTGGAGAAAGGGGAGCTAGGGTGACTTTCTTACTATTATACAAGAAACTATACTTGTTAGTCACACCATCAAAAGACACCTGCCTGTCAAACTGCCACGGCCTACCTAGTATAATGTGACTAGCCTGCATAGGAACTACATCACATAATATTTCATCAGTATATTTATGAATTTGAAAGGATATAAGAACATGTTTGGTTACTCGAACCTTCCCAGAATTGTTGAGCCATTGGAGTTTGTAGGGTCGCGGGTGATCCCTCGTAGGCAGTTTCAAGTTGTCCACCATGAGTGAACTAGCCACATTTGTACAGCTCCCACTATCAATAATCACACTACAAAGTGCTTGGTTGACGAAGCACCTAATGTAGAAAATGTTCTCCCGTTGAAACTCGTCCTCCTTAACACGTGTCGTCAATGCTCTCCTTGCAACCAAGGCGGTCCCAAAGTGACCCTCGAGTGCACTAAACTCCTCTTCATTTGGTGACTCACCATCACTACCTCCTTCAAGGGGTGGCATGCCTTCGTACTCGGCTTCGTCCTCACTCACGATCTCGTCATTTTGCATCATAATCATAGTCTTTTGATTGGGACATTGACTAGCTATATGGCCTTTACCTTGACATTTGAAGCATCGAGTATCACGAGCCCTAGTTTGTGCCCTAGGCTCCTCGAATTTTGGAGTAGAAGAGGGCGGCTTACTAAAACTAGGGTTGTCAACCTTACCTCCCTCGAATCTCGGCTTTGGAGTATGAGCATTTGGTGAAGGCCGAGAATCATTCCTTGGTTGGAATGGGCGGTTGGTAGAGTAGGCGGTATTGCCGAAATTCGATCGAGTGGTACCCCTCCTCTTGAGCCTTTGCTCGACCTTAATAGCCTTGTCTACAAGCTCATGCAACTCCATATAATGTTGAAGTTCCACTCGTTCAGCAATATCGGGTCGTAACCCGCTCAAGAATCTCACCATGGTGGCTTCAGGATCCTCCTGTACATCCGCTCTAAGTATTAGGATCTCCATCTCCTTGTGGTACTCATCCACACTCCGGTTGCCCTGGACTAAGGTTTGTAATCGGTGGTACAAATCTCTAGTGTAATGTCCAGGTACAAAGCGGGTGCGCATCATGGTTCGAAGCTCGGGCCATGGAAAGAGCTCAGGTAGACCATTTCTCCTTCTAGACTTCTTGATTTGGTCCCACCAAACCACAGCGTACTCAGTAAATTCCATGGTGGCCAATTGCACCTTTTGCACCTCGGTGTAGTTTTGGCAAGAAAAGACCATTTCGATCTTGGATAACCATTCGAGAAAGGCCTCGGGATCGGACCGTCCTTTGAACTCAGGGATTTGCATCTTGATTCCCTTGAATACATCGGTAGGTCCAGTCTGGTTCCTTTGCCGTGGTCGAACTCGAGGTTCCTCATCATCTTCATCATTATTGGAACCATCGGACGACTCCACGTCTCTTCGCCTTCGTGTGGATTTAGAAGTTTTTGGTGTTCCAGACGCTCGGAGTTGCAGCAACTCATCTTGAATGGGTTCTAGCATGCGTTGGAAACGCCTCTCCATTTGCTCCATCATCTGTTCAAAGTCCATGGGATGGGATACTCCTTCGTTGCTACTAGACATGAAGTCTCAAGTGTACCTGCAAGGGTTAGTAGCAAAGAAAGGGAAAAAGGAAAAAAGAAACGTTTGTCTCCTTTTTTTTTTTTCCTCACTTCACTCCCTAAGTGTATACTCTCACACTCGTGTATGGTCACTTAGATCACTCTAATGAGCTCACCAAAATTTTCTCACAGCCCCTTGCAAACCCTGAAGAAAGTAGAATTCCTCAAGTGCTCAAGTGTAGCTCAAAAAATCAAGTTCACGCTAGAATTTGAGATTCGTAAGAGTAGAGATTTGCTTGGAAAACAAAATTAGGACACTAAGAATGGAGTGGTAGAATATATTCAAGACTAAAAACTGGAAAAGGAATTGACACAAAAGCTGAAAAAAATTAAGAACGAGACTAAAAAAAAACTCTAACCGACAAGGAAAGTGGTCCTTTTGCTTTGCTGGAAAATTATTTATTATTTTTTTTTATGCAGCCAAAAGATGCACTATGGGTTCGGCTCAAACACACGAATTTCCAGGTTTGGTTGCAGCTTTGGTGCGGCCTGTTTTGGTGATTTTAATGTTTGGCAGGACGTGATTCTTGGTTCCCAACGATTAGAGCTCAAAGTTCAGGTATGTTTCAATGTCACGCCCAAGAAAATTTCAAGAATTCAAGATCAAACCACAATTTCCAGCAAATAACTTCAAGAATATCAAGGCTAATTTCCAGATTTCAAGAATATCCGAATCCCTTCAAGATCTTCGTGAAACCAGCAAATTTGACGCAAGAATTTCAAGAACAAGGTACCAATACTTTCCTAGATGATAAGCAACTGAAGAAAAAATGACATGAACAGATTTGGAAACAACTAAAACTCAACAAGGAAGAACGAACAGATTTTTGGAAACTACCAAAACTCAGCACGAAAGAATGAACAGATTTCTTCTTCTTCTCTTTTTGGTTTTTTTTTTTTAAACCCAAACGATGTAACTAACAAACAAATAGCCTACGAATAACACAAATAATTCCCAGAATTTCTAGAAATTAGAAACGGCACAAGAAAGACACAAAAACACTGACGGGCAGAATTTTTTTGCAAAGAATAAGACTAGCGACTGAAAATTTTTTTTTTTCTAACGAGATAGATACAAAAGACACGAAAAGAGGGATAAAAAATGATGTTACCAACAAGCTAGCTCTGATGCCAGCTGATACGAATCTCGTTGGTGAGAAGATTCGCGACCCAAGTCACTTGTTGGATTTGACTTCGAACGCAAGGAACAGTAGCAGCGGAAACCCTACGACCCCTCTAATCCCCGTGACTACGAACTTGTTGATATTATCTCAACCCGTAATCAAACGAATTAGCGAATCTCAGGCAAGTGTAGGAGGCGCCACAATTCAAGTGTGGTTCTTGAATTGATAAGCCAAACAAGAACACAAGAGTTAAACTCTAAGTTGTTCAAGGGTTGCTCGAAAGCTATGGAGAAAATTCTCTCAAGTATTTTTATGATAAAAGTGTCTATCCTTTATTGATGTAATATGGTGCCTTATATAGGCTACAAGTGAAAACCCTAATCTAGTAAGAAAATGGACTAAGGGTGCAGTGGATATGGGCCCTAATAAGGGAGGCTTAACCCCCCCGATGGGTTGGGCCTCACGTGGGCTTTCCTTCCTAGACAGCCCACTCTAGCAAATAATAATGAGTAAATTAGCAATACTACCTTTGGCGATTCTACGTGCAATATGCACTTAGCCAATTATTCAATCTAATCAACTAATGTGGAAATAACTAACTATGATGTTAAAATGGAAATTAGGGTTTGGCAAAAAAAACCCTAATCCTCAGGTGTAGCTTCAATGCTCATTATCGGACCGCGACCACCTTCACTTGAGTGTATGAATCCTTCAAAGGACTTGTGGATGGCCTGAATAAGTACATTGAGTTGCTCACGAAGTTTCTTTGCGCGAGCCCTAGTAATGGGTCCACTTGGGGCGTGCACGTGATCCTCAGCTCCTCGATTACTAGAGCCATTGTCGGCCTGCCCACGTACCATGATGCTATCATTTTTCAGCTTGCCCAATGAACACAGGTCTCGTTCCCTCCCTTACCCCACCAAAACCTAGCAATCCTTATTGCGATTTCTCTGCACAACCCTTTGGGGAGTCTAAAACATGCCATTACATATGTTGGCATGGCCACTATGACTGACTTGATCAGTACCTCTTTTCCTCCTTGACTCAGTAGCCTTTGTTTCCACCCTTGGAGCTTGTTGCTAATTCTGCTCTTTACAAATCCAAAAACTTGTGTCTTAAATTTTCCAATGGCCATTTGTAATCCCAAACATGTCCTATTTATTGCCTCTCTCATATTGTCAAGCCCTTCACTCACCTCTTGTTTTATCTAGTCAGTGATGTTTTTGTTATAGAAGATTGCTGACTTGTCAAAGTTCACCACCTATCCAGAAGCTTTGCCATATTTTGTCAGGATGTCTTTCACTTTCAATGCCTCATGTTTGCTTGCTTTGCAGCACAGTAAGGAATCATCTGCAAAAAATAGATGAGAAATAGCAGGATTATCCCTGCAAATTTTGATTCTTGTTAGCTCATTTTCTGCCACTGCCTTTTTAAGTAAACTAGATAGACCTTCAGCACAGATAATGAACAGGTAAGGTGATAATGGGTCCCCTTGTCTAATGCCTCTACTTGGTTTAATATGCCCTACTTTTTTGGCCATTTAAATTGAAGGAGTAAGACACAGAGGACAGACAGCCGATGATCCATTTAACAAATATTGGATAGAACCCCATTTTCATCATAAGTCTCCCTAAAAATTTCCATTCTATTCTGTTGTAAGCTTTGGACATATCAAACTTAATAGCCATGAAACCGGTTTTTCCTCTTCTCTTGTTTTTCAAAAAATGAAGTATTTCATGAGCTATCACAACACTTTCAAGGATTTGTATGCCTGGAATGAAAGCAGACTGTGAAGAGCTGATACAATGCTGTAGCACTCTTTTCAGTCTGTTTGCAATGATTTTCGAGATGATCTTATACAGAACAGTACATAAATTGATAGCCCTATAATACACAGCTCAGTTTTTGGGATCAAAGAGATGATGGTTTTATTCACTGCTTTGAGCAAGTTACCAGTATGAAAAAGGCTATTTATAACAGACACCAAATCCTCTTTTATGATATGTCAATAATGCTGGAAGAAAAGTGGAGACATACCATCAGTCCCTGGGGCTTTGTTTGGATGCATTGAAAGCAAGGCTTGTCTGATTTCTTTTTCTTCCACAGGCTTAATCAGCTACTCATTCATCGAGCCAGAAAATAGTGCTTGGAACCTCTGCTAGTGTTTCCTCAAAGTTTTTGGTAGTGGTGAAAAGGTCATTGTAGTACTCACTAAGCTCCTCTTCAACCTCCTTCTCATTCTTGCACCAAGTCCCATCTTGTTTCTGTAAAATGCTGATTGTGTTTTGTTTCCTCTTTGTCATCACACTTGTGTGAAAAAAAGCTGTATTTCTATCACCTTTTTTGAGCCATCTGCTTCTTGATTTTTGGCTCCATTGCAATTCTTCCTCCTTATATGCGTTGCTTAGTTGGTTTTTTATCTCTGCAATTCGACCACTCTTGCCCAGATCATTTCCCTCTTTCACTTCATTGAGTTTCTCTTTTAGCTCCTTTGTCCTTACTTTGGAGTTCCCTTGCACCCTTTTATTCCATTCCAACATAGCAATCCTTTTTCTTTTTCTCTTGATTTGCATGTTTACTTCTTGATCGTTGCAAGTTTTTACTCTTAAAAAGTCATTTTATTTTAATTTTGCCATTTGCATTGATTAAACTCTCCTTTATTTGTCAAATAAGGTTGAAAATTCATCACATAGCCATGGATTTGGATAGCGCAAGTCATAAGTGAAGTCTTATCTCTTCCTCTATATTTATATTCCTTTTCTCACATGGACAACAATGTGAAATTTAAGTGTGAGGGAGGGGAATAATTGACTTCCTATTTAGTGTCATGTGATGATATTTTATGGATTTAAATGCATTAGAAATGATGAAATTGTGTTGGAAAAATTGCTATATGGAAAATTTTCTTGAAATTGGGTTTGTTGGCTGGGAGTTTCGTCCAGTTACAAGGGGAAACTTTGTCAAAATTTTTTCAAAATCTTTTCCAAAATTTCACTATGGCCCAAAAATTCTTCCAATTTTTGCAATTTTATTTTAAAAGGGCCAATTTGATCCAACTTTAAGTGTTCTAATTCTTCCACTTGTTGAAACTTTATATGTATTTTGGAAGATGTAGTTCTCAATTAACTTGAAAATGGTTACTATGCAATTAAGATCTTTGCATTTTAAAAAGTATATCTTGTAAAGTAGGGATAATTATGCCTATAATTTTGCATGTTTAATAAGATTTCTCCTCTTTACTTAATTTTACAAGTTAGTGATTGATATAGTCAATAAAAGCTATACTCTTTCTTTGATTATTCTTATGTATTTGTTAAGAGGGAATGTCTATTTATTGTCTTTTATTTTGAAAAAAAAAGAATAAAAAAGAAGAAAAAGAAAATAAAAAGAAAAAAAGAAGAGAATAAGAGTTTTTGTTTTACTCCAATAATTCTTGAACCAAGTAACTGGAGGTTGGCATTTATAAATGTCGACATTCATGTAAAAAGATACTTGAATTAAGAGCATGCATAGTAATTTGAATAAATGAAATATTGAGTAACCGAAGATCTTCAAGTAAAAGTGTCGATCTTCATGACAAAGGCATTTTCACTATTTGAGTAAAATTTTTTATGAATAAAGTCCCTCTTAGTTGTGAAATTTGAGAAAAAGATAATTATAGGAGAAGGATAGCTATGAATTGACTATGCGATTTGCTTACTTGTGAAATTAGGTTAAGGATAAGAGATTAAGTTTAACTTGTTGAAATTAGGGTATAATTATCTTACCTTTACTTGATATTATGAATATTTAGTATAAATTGAATGATTGTATAATGATTGTTGTAGAAACCAAAAAA